AGAGTGGTATAGCTGGATCTTGGGGGAGATTGATTCCCAATTTTCTAAGAAAGCGCCATATTGATTTCCAAAGTGGTTGTACAAGCTTGCATTCCCACCAGCAGTGGAGGAGAGTTCCCCTAGCTCCACATCCTCTCCAGCATAAGGTGTCTTCAGTGTTTTTGATCTTATCTTAACAATGGGTCGTTGGGAGGGTATGGTTGTGAAGCTTCTCCTGAGTCTAATTCTTTCTCTTTTTTAATTGATTTTTTTTTGAGAATTTATATATGTGTCAACAGGAGAAGAATGATGTAATCACAATTGTGGTAACTCCAGATTATTTTATATAAGGAATTCAGAAGGTTACAGAAAGTATTAAATAATCCTACTTTTGGTTAAAAAATTATAACCATTTATTTTGTGAGACAGAGTCTCAGGTAGAGCAGGCTGTGTAGTCAGGGATGGTTTTAAATTTACACTCCTCCTGCCCTACAGTGAGTGTTGGGATCAGATGCATGCTCCAGCATGCCCAGTTTATAAAGCACTGGGGATCAAACCCAGGGCTTTGTGCATTCGAGGCAACCAGCCTATCAATAGATCTACACTCAGCCCCACCATATATTACAGTATTTAGAAGCACATGAGTGTGTTAAATTTGAAAGAAAATTTGTTTAAATAACATATGTGTTGTTTACCGAAATCACCCCATCTATGTATGTATGCTTTGTAATAAGAAAACCTTTATTTACTCCTGTTGTTAAAAATACTCACTATATCAGATTTGGGTTTTTTCCTCAGCTGCTGTGAGCTGAGCTTCCTGTCACTTGCAGGTTCCTGTTACCCTCTGGGAGAGGCTAATGCACGAGGCAACGGTTTTTGGCAGGATTATTACTGAGGGCATCATTTTCACCCAGAAGTCAATCTCGCTGCAAGAACCAGCTTTTCTGGACTGCAGACTGTCCCTCAGGAAATGCTAAACATAGTTCCTCTGCAGACTGGTCTCCGGGACAGTCATTCTCTCTTTCTCCCTTTCTCTCTTTCTCTTTTCCTGATAATGTTTTAATTATTCACGTGTATGGGTGTTTTGCTTGCATGTGTGTCTGTGCATCACATGCACGTCTGGTGCTTGTGAGAGTTAAAAGAAGGCATCAACTACCCTGGAACTGGAGCTATAGAAATTCGTGAGCCGACACGTGGGTGCTGGGAACCAAGCCTGGGTCCTCTGAAAAGGCAACAAGTGTTCTCCACCACTGGGCTTCTCTCCAGCCTTGTTTCTGCAGACAGCAGTCTTTCCCTTAGGAGAGTAACCCAGCTGACCGAATTCTCTTCCTTTCCTCCTCTCCCCTCCTCTTCCCTCCCCTCCTCTCCTCTCTCCTTCCCTCCCCTCTGCCCCCCCCATTCCTTCTTTTCTCTGCAGTGCTGAGGATTGAATTGGGATCTATATATATGCTAGGCAAGTCCTTTACCATTGACTCGTGCAGCAGCCTGGGTTTTCTGTGGGGACTGTTTCTTTTCACTTTCAATCCCACAATCCGGGCGGGGATGGCCCTGACCCCAACTCCAGGGTTACATGTGTGAGCCACACCTTACTGCAGCCACAGGCTCAGGAAAGGGCATGCATTGATTATTTTATGTCAACTTGTCACCAGCTGGAATCATTTGGGAAGAGGGACTCTGAATTGAGAGAATGACACCATAAGCTTCGCCTAGAGACAAGTCTGTGATGCTTTTTCTTGATTAGTGAGTGATGTGGATTGGTCCAGCCCACTGTGGCTGGTTCCATCCCTGGGCAGGAGGTCCTGGGTTCTATAAGAAATCAGGCTGAGTAATCAATGAGGAACAAGTCAATAAGCAGCATCTCTCCATGGCCTCTGCTTCAGTTCCTGCCTCCAGGTTCCTGCTTTGAGTTCCTGCCTTGACCTCCCTCAATGTTGGAGTGCAACCTGAGAGTTGGGGAATGAAATAAAGCCTTCCTTCCCCAGTTGCTTTTGGTCATGGTATTTTTCTCAGCAATAGAAAGCATAACCAAGACAGGGAGTGTGTGATATGCCAGGCTGGCGGGACAGCATTTGTGTAAGCCTTTTCTCTGCCGATTCTGCACGTGGAAAGACAAAAAAGTCTGGTGTTCCGATGATGGCCACCTACCACTGTGGAGTCTGAGAATGAAGCAGACATGGAGAAAACAAAGGCAGACTGTGGAGAGGCATAGTGCTTATCTCAGGAATGGAGCTGGAGTCTAGCTGAAGGTGTCTCAATCGTGAGAGCCAATGTGCTTCTCCTTTGCCTCGGCTGGCATGGGCTTGGCTTCCTGGTGTTAACCCCGGGAAGTATCTTGACTGTAGAAGCTAGCATAAAGAGTTGCCGGGTGGGGTTTGCAAGTGAGACTAAAACACAGAACTGGCCAAGTTGACTCAGGGCAAGCAAGTCTGTTCTTGGCCAGCAACTAGTGATTCATGCTATGTAGTGATGAAGGAGCTCGCCGCTTGGACACATGTTTACCATGCACCTGGGAGCATCAGGGGGTGAAATGGGCAAGTTGATGAGCTCTCCTTGCTGCTTTCAGCAAGATCTTACACTAAAGAAACAAACCTACGGGCTAGTCTGATGCCTGTTACCTGTGCGCAGACCCAAGGACATTATCCTAACTGATGCGATCCAGCCCCAGAAAACAAGGCTGTGCTGTTTCAATGGTATACAGGAGGCACCTAGACTAGTCAAGTTCACAGAGACAGGAATCACATGGTGGGTACCAGGGGCCGTGGGGCAGGGCAGGAGTTGTTTAACGAGTGCAGTAAGATGAAGAGTGTTCAGGAGACGGCTGTGGTGATGGGCGCATAGGGGTATGAACGTGCTGAGCAGTGCCAAGCTGGCCCGTTACAAAGTGGTTAAGATGGTACATTTTTATATTGTGTGTTGTTTGGCTACAGTTTTACAGACAGCACACAGCAACGGGAATAATGCAGCTTTGCTCAAAAAGGTCTTTCTGCATGGGCTTGCAGTCCTGGGCTCAGAGTCCCAGATACGACAGGTTAAGTTCCTGCACAAAGGAAGACAGGAAGCTGGGACTTAGGGGAATAATGGTCATTATTAAATGTCTACATCTCCTTTGGTTTTCACACATAAATTCACCTACTTATGACACACAATGGAGAAGGTATGTGCCTTGTAGGGGTGTGTGTGTGTGTGTGTGTGTGTGTGTGTGTGTGTGTATGTGTGTGTGTGTGTGTGTGATGTACACATGTGTGTGAAGGCCAGATGACAACTTTGGGCCGTTCTTCAGGAACCACCACTTACTTTTAGTAGAAGTTTTGGGGGGCTGGAGAAATGGTTCAGCTATTAAAGGCTTAGGCTCACACTTAAATGGAAGGTTTTTAATTATATGTATTTGTGTGTGTGTGTTCATGTGTGTATATGCCACAACACATCTGTAGAGGTCAAAGAACAGCTTGTGGGAATCAGCTCTGTCCTTCCACCGTGAAGGGTCCCTCGGATGGGACTCTTGGTCATCAGATTCGGTGGCAAGTGCCTTTATCCACCGAGCCATCTTGACAGCTCCATTTAGAAATATTTAGAATCCATTGAGATAGAGTCCCTTATTGGCCTGGAACTTGACAATTAGGCTAGGCAGTCTGGACAGTGAGTCTTAGGGAGCCCCTTGTGCTGAAATTACAAAGGCACATCACTACACCTGTTTTTTTTTTAATTATTATTATTATTTAATGTGGGTTCTGAGGGTCAAACTCAGGCTCTCATGGGTACAAGGCAAACACTTTATCATCTTATATACTGAGCTACAGCTCTATACAGACAAGGGAATTGAGCCATAAGTAGGCTAAATAGATAAACCCTGTTACAGCTTGAGTGTGAGATGGCACCCACACTCTCCTGTGTTTGCCCTCAGCTTTGAACATTCCTTCGGGGACACCGTGGAGCCTTTAGGAGGTAGAACCTAGCTAGAGGGCAGTGGATTTCAGATGTTATGGCCTAGTTCTGCTTCTGGCATGATGGCTCTGCTTCCTGGTCTACCAAGGTGAGGTTCAGCAGCCTCATGCCCCTGCCTCTGCCTCGATGAACCTCTTCTATAACCATGGTGGATTATACCCCAAAATGGCAAACAAATCATTCAGTCTTCCTTACATGCTTCTTGTCAGGTATGTGGTTAGAATGATGGAATGTGGATGATACACCAATGAGGTAAGTGACATGGCCAGGGTGTGACCTAACCCCAGCTTCTGCCCTACATGGGCCCGAGCAGCCCAGCCCTTCTCTGCTGCGGGCTGCAGGAATATGAAGTAGGAATTCAGCTGACTACGAGAAAGCTACACCTGGAAGAAGCCAAGGGCCCTTCCAGAGGAGAAAGCCAAGACTTAAGAGTCTTGGTGATACTGCCTTTTGAATATTATTCAGATTTCCCCTATGCAATGAAAGTATTTGGATATACATCTCCCAACTGTGCTAAAAGCAGTCACACAGCCAGACCCTTAATTTCAGGCCTTTCTGTAATTATCGTCATTAGCAACATTTGGCCAGGATCTTTCTGGGATGAAAGTATCTTTTTTTTTTTTCTCCTAGAGCTGAGGACCAAACCCAGGGCTGAGCTAAATCCCCAACCCCAAGGGTGAAAGTATCTTATCTGAGATTCTTCCCAGACTTTCTAAGAACAGACTGCAGCATCCAGACTATCAGTCAGTTCCTGAGGGAAGATAAAAATCTACCATGAAGCCGGGCGGTGGTGGCGCACGCCTTTAATCCCAGCACTCGGGAGGCAGAGGCAGGCGGATCTCTGTGAGTTCGAGGCCAGCCTGGTCTACAGCGTGAGATCCAGGAAAGGCGCAAAGCTACACAGAGAAACCCTGTTTCGAAAAACCAAAAAAAAAAAAAAAAAAAAAAAAAAATCTACCATGAGACAACTGCCCAGGCCTGGCAGATGTGCTGATTAAGCTTAATCTTCTTTCTTCCAAGGGACATCTTAGTTCTAGACGTCCCTTTAACCATTAACCCAGAAGTAAAGGGCTTTTACTTACCAGGTACATCTAGCTGGGACGCAATTTGTCTAGTTACCTAGCTATACTTCCACTGCCCTGCCAAGAAACAGGCAGTCGAGTTAAGCTAAGAGTTTTTCTCAGTGACTTATAGAATCCTAACATTTTACCTAACCACTTCTAAGAATATAGTTTGAGCACATATATCCCCTTTTTCAGATCTATTAACCGAATTTAGCCTTTAGTTGATTCATGCCCCACTAGTCACTTCCCCTTGGGGTTGCAGATGATGGCTGACAATTACTGTTCTTTGTGGGTAGCTTATTGCCCCTCCTCTTGACCCTGAGGGAATTCAAGCCTGGTGACCTTGCCTTAGCCAGAGCATTGCTATTGCAGGGGTATATAACGGTAAACCTCAGAGACTGAAGGGTGGACTGGATTGAGAACTAGAAGAACGAGATGGAAGATGAGGAAGAGCTAGATGGGAAAGAACAAATGGGAGAATTCAGATAGAACTTAGAGAGAAAAGCAGAAAAGTATAGCGAGAAATCAGGCAAGAAAGGAGCTAAGTATGAGAGCAGAAAAGAAGCTGTGTAGAGAGAGAACTGACTCCGAAGAATAAAGTGAATGAATTAAAGAGTTTCGCGTATGTAGATTTATTTGATATCATCTAAGATTAGATTATCAGCTGGTTGTAGATTCTTCCACGGACCCTGGGAAAAGACTATCGAGGGGCTGGACCCCAACAGTCTTTGTTACTTCTGCCTCTCTCTCCTCACTCTTCTGCATAATTCTCCAGAGTCACATGTAGCCCGGGCTGGTCTGAACCTTGCTGTGCAGCTGAGGGTGATCCTTTGGCTTCCACTTCCTGAGAGAGGGGATGATGAGTATGTACCTTCATGTCCAGTATATGGGGCTTGAACCCAGGACTACTGCAAGTCAGACAGGCACCCCACAGATGAGCTACACCTCCTGCCTCCAGAAGGATTCTCTAACTCATTCTCAGAATCCTGTCATCCCACAGCAGAGACCACAATGCAAGTCACTGGTTAGGACACCGAGGCCTCTTCCAATGGGTGGACATTTCCGGGAATGGAAGCTGGTTCTTGCTCACCTCTCTGGCTTTGTGATTGCTCTATGGTGTTGATGGAAGCTCCTGAGACTCCATGGGCTGTAGAGGCATTGGCATCTGGATCACAAAGGCTAGGGTTTGCTGACCCCCGGGCAATCTGCAGGTCTTTTTTTAAAACAATGAGAAGCAGAATGTGACTTAGGACACCAAGTGCATCAGGACAGGCTGCCTTGCCCTTCCCCGGTGGCCCTCTCCTCCTTCCCATGCCCTTTACCACACTGACTCCCTTCTTTCTGAAGCACAGTCTTTTGGTACTCTGAAAGTGCCGGTCCCGCAATGCTGTCTGCTGCTTCCAGCCTCTTGATGAACATCTACACAGCAGCCAGTCGGCCCACGCTCAAACCATGAGCCAGGGCGTCTCTGGTTACATGCACAGCCAGCTCTGGGGCTGGGAAATAGCTTGACCTCATCTTGTGAGAACCCCGCCTGGCTGCTGTGTATGACCCCTCTGCATGTACTCTGGGGTCACACAAAGAGGCTGCGTGTGGAGGGCAGGCTGAGCTTAAAGATGAGTCACCACCTGGCTCGGAAGGAAGGAGGGTGAAAGGAATGTGTCAGGCAAGACTCATTCACCTGGACTCACTCAAGGTGGTCTGTGGCCCACAAGAACCAGACGAAGATGTGGTTGCCACCTGCTAGGGAGACTTGTCCCAGCAAGACCAGAAAAAAGCAAGGCAAGCCCTCCTGAGGTGGACAAAGACAGGCGAGCCCTCCTAAGGTGAGGTCTTGACTGGCTAAGGCATTTCCTCAACGGACTGCTGAAGGGAGGAGAGCCTTATGGACCTGTGGCTCCAAGCAGTGTCCTTCAGCTGTGCTCACAGGGACTTGACCGCGAGAATCTGATTGTCCAAATTAGTTACTGTAAATAGACAAAGTATAATTGCATACATTTATGTGGTACAAATAATGTTATGATACATACGTATACAGTTTGCAATATTTGAGTCAAACTAATTAGCATATCAATCCCCTTAATTACTTATTCCTCTTTAAAAAAAATTAAAAAATTAAGTTTATTTATTTAGTTTGTGGGTATGGATGTTTCGTCTATATGTATGTCTGTGTACCATGCATGTGCCTAGTGTCTGAGAAGGTTGGAAGACGTCATCAGATCCCCTGGAACTGGAATTACAGACAGTTGTGAGCCACCATGCCAGTGCTGGGAATTGAACCTGGGTCCTCTGCAAGAGCAGCCAGTACTCTTAACTGCTGAACCACCTCTCCAGTCCTGATTACTTATTGCATTTGGTGAGAACACTTACAATTTATTTTTTAGTATGTGTGGGCATGCACGTGTGTGTGTGTGTGTGTGTGTGTGTGTGTGTGTGTGTGTGTGTGTGTGTGTGTGTGTGTGAGTGCACAGGTGCCAGAGGACATCCTTGGACGTTGTTTCTAGGTAGACTAGCCTGGCTTGCCAGTGAGCCCCAGGGATCCACCTGGTTCCCAACAACCACAGGGTTGGGATTACAAGTGTTCACTACCACATCCAGCTTTTAAATGGGAGTTGTTGTGTCTACAAAGTAGCACATTACCAAGTGAACTATCCCCAGCCCCCGCTTCTCTTAGCAGTTCCCCCCTTCTTTTTTGTGTGCATGTGTGATGTGCGTGTGTGAGTGTGTACGTGAGGTCTGAGGTGTCAGGAATTATCCCTGATTGTTCTTCCACTTTAGTCAATGAGGCAGACCTCTCAGGCAAACCCAGAGCTTTAGGCTGGCTGAGGAGGAAGGGACTGGAGGGTGGGCACACACCTCAGCAGGTGCCACTCAGCCAGCTCCCTCCAACCTGAGTGGAGAGTTCATCACTGACTCCTTCCAGTGTCCCATCTGTCCTGGAGGTTTGGCTTTTGCAAATCTGTCTTCTCCATGGTCCAGCCAACAGAGGCATTCCAGAAACGTTTAGGACCCACAGGAAAAGACAGACCAGGCTGGTGGCAAGATGGCAGGCTGAAATAAACACGATTCATTTCTTTTGCATATTTGTGAATTAATAAAGCAATTCTTTTGGCAGGCTTTGCACCTCCTTGCCTATAGGACTTTGGTGGGACAGAGAACAAGGCAGCCTGGGACTAGGGCTAACCTCTCCTACCAATATAAGATGCTGAAGGAATTATAGGTGTGTTGGGGTGGGAAGGAGAGGGTCCTGGAGGGGTACGGTGAGGTGAGGCGCACTCATTCTATCTAGGAAAGCCAAGAGGTCTGTGGTTTCCTAGGGCAGCAGCGTCCACGACTCAGTGACAGGTAGGCGAGGCAGAGTCTCAGCAGCACTGTGGCCATGGAAGTACAGGGGCTGGGCTGACTTAAAGAGGTAGTGGCTGACTGTCCTCACAAGCCCTTGGGGACCTTGAGGCCACTTGGAAGGATGAGGGCCCTCAAAACTGGCTGAGGAGGAAGGGAATGGAGGGTGGGCACACACCTCATCATGGATGCCTCTGGGAACAGTACATGACCAGTGAGAAGCCAGTCCTGAGGAATCACATGTAAAACCCATCAGGGCGGGGGCAGGGCTGGGACAGAGGAGGTGGGAGTGTGCTTGTTGGGTATGGGGTTTTCTTTGTGGCTGAGCCTTCTAGAATTAGATCGTAGAAATGGCATGTAAGCTTGTGAGTATATTTAAAGGATGATGAATCATAGATTTGAAAATAGTATTAAAAATTACTTTTTTTTTGGAAACAGAGTTCCATGTAGTCCAGACTGGCCTTGAACTCACTGAATAACCAAGGATGACACTGAACTCATGCCTCCTCTTTTCAAATGCTGGGATTACCTGCAGGTACTGCCATGCTCTGATCTAAAAATGACAAATTTAAATTATTGTCTAAATTTATCTCAGTGAACAAGAGTTCTAAAAGCTGAGATGGAATTTCCTATTACCCCAGTGGGACAGTGACCCAAAATTACACTTCAGTTGATTTAAAAAAAGGAAATGCCATCCCCTGCCCCCAACTCTGGGTTTGTGGGCCAGGATTCACAGTTACATAATGGTGGGAGGAGACAATATTCTGAGACACAAGAAGGAATGCAGGGTCACCCGGCACAGAGCCCTCTAGACATAGGGACGTGCATCTCAACAGAGAGCAATGGGAACCTGCCTGAGAGACAAGGAGGCGGGTGGCCTGGGGGATGGGGGATATGTTCCTAGACATCTGCTTCTTTTTTAAAAATATTCTGTGTGTGTGTGTGTGTGTGTGTGTGTGTGTGTAAGTCAGAGGATAAACTGTGAGAGTTGATTTTCTCCTCCATATGGGCTCCGGGAATTGAACTCATGTCCTCAGCTTTAGCAGCAAGTGCCTTTACCTGTTGAGCCATCTCGTCAGCCCACCCAGACCTCTGCTTCTTACACTCACTTCAGTTCTGATCAAGCATGTTTAGCAGTATGTGATGTAACTGTGGGGACTCTGGTGTCCCGTCTCTACATCTGAGGCACTTGCCTACTCCCCGTGTGGGCCAAGCTCAGGCCCCCACAGTGTTCACACACATGCTTGCTCCTGAGGGACAGCGGGTACAGATTTAGCCTCACATGTCCAAGGGGAGGGCCAGCTTAGGAACTCTGTCTCTCTCGGGGCCAGAAAGCATGAGTCCCACCTCAGTGGCCTCATGTGTCCATCATGGCAGATCTTCCTTGTGGTCTCAGCAATTTCTCACTGGCTGAGGTAGTCATGAATCCCCCTGTCCGAGTTTGGGTACCCCAGAGCAGCTGGTATAAGGATTTGAAATCAAGCAGGTTTGGGGGCAGTGGTTCCAGAAGGCACTGGGAGGGGAGAAAGGGATCCATTAGGGCCTGTGAGGACTCCAAAGGTTGGGTCCCTGTCTTGGATCAGACCCTGAAGTCTGCTGGTCAGGGCTGGAATGCTGCTAAGTCACCCCACTTCCACTGCTTGGCTACTCGGCCCTGGTCCCCCTGTTTAGCCCATCTATTCATGGCAGGAGCCTCCTTGCTGACCCCTGCTCCACAGGAGCCTCGCCCCTTCTCCAAAGCTCATTTTCCTACAGTTGTCATCATTGACTAACCTGCTGTAGCGTCTCAGATGCTTCGTGTACCAATGTGATGAGGTTTGCAGCTTTGAGCCTGGTGCTCCACCTAGGCACCTCTCTAGAGATGTAGAGAACGTTCTCAGAGCGAAAGGAGAGATCATGGTCAGTCTTAAGCCAGGAGGCTTAGGAGGCAACAGATCCTGTGTCTGTCATCCACTCTCTACTCCTAATCCAACTGCATCACGATCACCACCATCACCACCACCAAAACCATCACCACCCCCACCCCCACATAGGGTCTTTCTTTACCTCTTGAACTTACTATATAGTCGAGGATGACCTTGAATAGCACCCAGTTAATGAGGTGCCAGGGATGGAACCCAGGGCTTTGTGTATACTAGGTGTCTTGGTTACTTTTCTATTGCTGTGAAGACACACCATGGCCAAGACAACCTATAGAAGAGAGAGTTTATAGGGGCTTACGGTTCCAGAGGGTTAGGGTCCAGGGCTATCACGGCACAGTGCTTGGCAGCAGGCAGGCAGGCAGGCATGGTGCTGGGGCAGGAGCTGAGAGCTCACATCTCATCCACAAGCACAAGGCAGAGAGAGAGAGAGAGAGAGAGAGAGAGAGAGAGAGAGAGAGAGAGAGAGAGAGAGAGAGACAGAGAGACAGAGACAGAGACAGAGACAGAGAATGGAGAGGCTCAGCCATGCTAAGGCTGAGGCTATGACAGATCCTCTGAGGTCAGAGTAGAGGTCAGGAAAGGTCATGAGGTGCATCTGGCCAGGGAGATGCCTTGTCAACCACACAACTGCCGTGGCTGCTTTAGAAACTCCCTCGGCCTTTTTGGTTGTTATTCCTTGAGGCAGGGTCTCACTATACAAGCCAAGCCGGCCTCGGTCTATGTAGACCACCCAGGCTGACTTCAAACTCTCAACTGCCCTGCTCCAGCCTTCCAAGCAGCAAGACGCCAGATTGGGCTCCCATGCCCGGCTGTGCCCTGGGCTTCCTTAAGTCCATTCTCTACCCACTGGGGAAGGTGCTAGCTACTGGAGGGCAAGTCCTCACTGCTTAGTTAGGTTGTGATTGCACAAACTTGTCATCTCAGCACTTGGGAGGAAGAGACAGGAGGATGGTTGCAAGCTAGAGGCCAGCCTGGTCTACTGTGAGTGCCAGGCCAGCCAGAACTACATAGCTAGAACCTAGTCTCAAAAATCCCCAAAGAGAGGCCGAGGGCACAACTTAGTAGGTAAAATGCTTGGGGCACAACCATAAGGACTGAGTTCAGATCCCCAGCACCGTTTAAGAGCTGTGCTGGCTTCAAGCATCTGAAAGTCAGAAATGGGGGGAGGTGGGTAGAGACAGACCTATCCATGGAGCCGGTTGGCCAGCTAGTCTAGCTGAAGTGGTGAGGCCCAGGTTCAGTGAGAGACCCTGTCTAAAAAAAAAAAAAAAAAAAAAAGGGTGTCTAGTGTGGTGGTCACGCTTTGAATCCCAGCACCTGGGAGGCAGACAGGCTATGAGTCAGAGGCCATCCCGGTCTACATAGTGAGTTCCAGAGCTGTATTAAAAGAAAAAAAAAAAAAAAAAAGTGGAGACTGAATATATCCATGAAGACCCCTGGCTTCCACGTGCAATTGCGAACCTTGTCACATAAGCCAGAAATGAGGGGGGAAAGCCCCTGATTCAGTAGCCGGTTGGTCTGACTTTCCGGCTGCCTGCAGCGTTGCCCTGGGTGGGATGTTTCTCTTACCTGCTGAGAATCTGGGGGGAGGGGGCAAGTCTCAGCCTCCCACCGGTCTACTGTGTCTCCAGGTCACCCCAGGAACAGCCTACCTAGGGCCTTGTCCTGGGAACCCCCTTCCCCGCCTCCCCACACTCTTTAGATGTTACCCATGAGGAGGCTCAGGAGGAGGAGCGCCTTGGCTCATAGCCGTCCTGTGCCTTCCGCTGCTCGGGAGTAGGTGGCGGGGCTGGTGACCTGGGCCGTCCTCCCTCCCCGCAACCCCGCCCGGCCGCCCGCGGTCGCAGCTCCCGCGCAGTCCCGGCTCCTCCCCCGCGCGGGGCTCGGCGCGCAGGCTGCGGCGCGCACAGCGGGGACCAGAGCGGCTCCGGCGCGGGGAGCCGGGCTCAGCCCCGCTCTGCGGACGCCGCGGCCCCGGGAGCACACCGAGTCGGCCTGGGGGGCCTGGGGGGCCCGCGGGGCGCACGCAGCGCCGAGTGCGCGTGGGGCCGGGCCCCGCAGCCGGGTGCAGGAGTGCGCGCGCGCCACGGCATGGAGCCGGCCCGGGAGCCCCCCGCGCGCACCCGCCCGCCGCCCCCCGCCGCGCGTCCCGCGCCCGCGGCACCCAGGCCGCGCTCGCCAGGCGAGGCCGAGGCCCGTGGCCCAGAGGGGCTGCTGCGGCGATCGGGGTCAGGCTATGAGGGCAGCACCAGCTGGAAGGCGGCCTTGGAGGGTAAGCTCTCAGCCTTCCATCCCCCGGACCCCCGACTCGGGACCCAGGAAGTGGCCAGTCACCTTGACAGCTCGCAGAAGGGAGGGTGATCCGGATAATTCATTCATTTCGGGCCAGGCACCATGGGAGGAAGAGGGGCGGTTGGGGACCACCTCTGGTCACAGCCTTGACCTGCCTTTGCTGCCAACTCCCTCAGTGACCTTGGAGCACGCTTCATGCTCCAAACCTTAGTTGGATCCGGTGTGAAGCACCTGCCCCGCTTGCTGGGTGGCGGCCTGAATCTATAGCAGAGAAAACACTTAGTGCTTCTTAAAAGCAAAAGCTCTGGTTCCCCGAGGTGATGCCTGTACTCTGTGGGGATGAGAGGGGCGCTCTGCTGGTGATGAGACAGAAGAAGAGGGCCTTTGTTAGTGATTTCGGGGTGCCACCTATCCCTTCTTGTCATAGTGGCTCAGGGAGTGACCTCGGTCTCAGTGAGACCTCAGAGTTGACCCTAGGAGACAGTGAGGCTTCGAAGAGACTTCAAGTTCACATACTCTTTTAGGAAACTTGTGGTGGCTGCAGGTGAGTGGTACTGTTCGGGAGATGCTGGAGTTGGCCACAGGGAGGGTCAGCTTCCAGGTGCCTCTCAGGCTCCTACCCGTTAGGAACTGGGCAGCATTAGCTAGGGACAGAGTCAGAGGAGGGCATCTCAGAGAAGGTGATCTTCCAGGGGTGTGGGACAGACAGGGAAGGAGTACCAGGTCAAGGAATGAAAGCAGGTAGCTGGAACTAGTCAGTCCCTTGTACACAACTAAACCATAGGGTGCTGGGTACTGATGAAGGAGGGATGGAGGGAGAGAAAGAATATGAAAACGGATATATCTGAGGGACTACCCAGGCCAGACTACGGAGTTTGTTTGAAGGAGCGGTCGAGGGTTTAAGAGAGCGATCTGAAGGGATAGACCTGCAGCGGATGGCTGGTGGGTGAGGAAGGTGGGTAGTGATCTGGAGGGGTAAGGCCACCTGTGCCCAGATAGGTGAGGGGGCTGCTGAGCATGGAGGACCCTTGGCCAAAGGCTGTGAGCCAGGGCAGGACACTGTGGAGGGCTGTGCAGACCCTGAAGAAGCCCAGTAGTGGTTAGGAACCATGGAGGCAAAGACATAGCTTCCCAGAAGCAAGACTGTTCATTACAGAGGAGAACCGGACCGCAAGCGTGTGGAATGGACTGACTAGCCCTTCTCGGATGTGTGTTTCTGGTTAGTGGTTGGGTTTGCCCTGTGACCTGGGCTTGCCCCCATCAGAATGGTATTTCTTGATGTCACTCCCATCCCTAGGCTGCATTTCTTCTTTCTTTTGTAAGTATTTGAAAGGGTCAGCTCGACTAACCTTTGCCCTTACCCCCATTGGGTAAGGCGATTTTAGGGTAGTGTGGCTGGCTGGCTCTGGCTCCATCTCTGGCCCTTAATACATCGACTCTTGTCCTTCCTACGGCCAGTGTGGCTGGCTGACCCTGCCCATCAGCTGAAGAAGAGGCTACACACTGGGCAGAAGGAAGGCGAGAAGCTTCCTGTGGTGGTCCAGCACACCATCGTACTTGGCATCTTCTTGCAGTCCAGCCTTGTCTCATCTGAACAGGCGTGGCACCCGACTGATGTCACGTTGTCCCTCTGGTGGTCTCCGGTGCATGTAAGAGCACCCCCTCCCGATGGCTCTTGGGTGCTCAGCGTCTTGACCTGCTGACCGTCCTACAGGACTTTTTAATTCCGTTGGTCCTCTGAGGGTCTTCTAGATGTTCCTTGGGTGTGCCCTATCTCCATCCAAAGAGGAGAGCCCATGGGTTAGGACTGGTCCTTGCCAGTGGCTGCCACCATATGGGACCTTTGAGCAGACTTGTTCATTCTTTCTACAGTGCTAAGACACCTCCTTAGGCCCTGGGCATATCCATCCCTCAGAGAGGTCCTAGAACAGGGGCGTCAGTTTGGAGAGGTGCCAAGAGCTGGTACACTTGGGCCGCCTGCCCACGCCGCTGGTGGGCTTCACTTATTTAAACCCTAGTTTCCTCATCTTGTGAGTCATGTCACGCTTTCTACCTCAGTGCTAATCAGAGAAAGCTCTGGAGGGTAGGTTCTGTTGTGGTGGCTCCTTTCCCAGCTCCCTGAACATAGAACCCAACAGCCTGGGTGAGGAGTCCAGGGAACAGGGGCGACCAGCTCAGCGGGAGGCCTTTGAGGTTGCCCTTGAAGCTGCTCCTGCCCCTCACTTCAGTTCCCTTGCTTTGCCCCAAGCAGCTGTGCCTCCTCCCCCCATGGAGCTGGGTGTGCACCTCAGTGGTGGATCCGCCCTGGAGAGGATGTGGGGAATGAGCGTCTTAAATATCTCACTCAAGGGCACACTGGCCGCTAACACATGAAACCTCCATGGCACTTGCCATTGGGTCCTCTGATGTGAAAAGCTTGTCTTTCTCTGGTGTGACCGAGGACACTAGCTCAGAGAGGCTAACTGGACGGAGTCCAGCTGCACTTTCTGGGCACACAGCTCTCCTCTCCTGGCCCCTCAGAAGAGTCTGCCACCCTCAGGAGGGAGCCGCTCTTCCCTCCTCACAGCTTGAGGGAATTGGAGGGCTCCAGGCAGAAGGCTGGGGTCTGGAAGACAGTCCTCAGTGACCCGTTAGCTCTGGAAACAGAAACCAGACATTGGTTGGCCCGTGAAGGTTGCTTTCCCCACGGGTGTGAGTCTCAGGTGAAGGCTGGTAAAGCTGACCCAGAGTGCCCCACTGGGGGCTGAAAACCCTGAAGATGATTCAAGATAGGGCTATTTCTAGCCTGGGGCCTGAGAGTTGGGCAAAGTGTTCTGGGGTAAGAGAGAGAGGGACAGAGTGACTCTGCATACCTCAGGCTATATAGATTTCTCAGTGGTCACCAATTCTGAATTTTTAATGTTGAAAGTTTTTTTTATTAGGCACAAACCCACAACTTCCTGATCAAAACCACACACATGCATTTGGCAAAAGCTATCTAAAAATTTAAAAATTACCAAGCTTCACCTTTGATCATTTTAAAATAGTCAGGATTATGCTTGCCAGGCTGTGCCCTGGATGGTTTAGACGTCAGCCGTGGGCCTCTTTTGGGATGTGGGTATGAGGGGGATCTGCGGTACGAAGAGCCAGAGTTTTCCAGTTGTCCTTTCTAATATTAGGCCAAATCATCCTCATTTAGAAGCCCAGGTAACCTGCGCCTGTAACTCCAGCGTATGTGGATGGACCGTTGCGTAGTGGGATGACCCTCAAGTTAGATGCTTGTGAAAAGCTGAACTGTGTTCACGCCACAAGAGCCACGGTGAGCCCTAACTCCTCGGACCTCAGAATTTGCCCTTGGGTGAAATTGTAGTCCTGGCAGACATGATTAGTTAAGAGGAAGCCAGAATGGAGTTAGCGGGGCCCCAATCCAATAGGAACTCGTGTCCTTAGAGAAACACAGCTCCACCCTGGAAGGCCATGTGCTAAGAATGACTGAGGCTGAGGTGGTAAAGTCATGAGCCAAGGGCTTTCAGCAAAACACCAGAAGCTAGGATGAGTCCAGCAAGGCTTCCCTGAGGGTTTCAGAGGCAGCATGGTCCCACCAACACCTCAATCTTTTGACTTCTGGTTTTCATAACTATGAGAGGAATCCTTATTTTTGAAGGCACCCAGTTGATGGCACCTTAGTTATGCAATCCGAGGAAGCAGGTACCATGTGGATTGCAGCTATCCAGCCACAGGCTGCCAGGACGGTAGACAGTCAACAGTGTGTTAGGGTCATAGGGTGTGTGTCGTAGGGTTTCTATTGCAATGAAACACTGTGACCAGAAGCAACTTGGGAGGAAAGGGTTTTTATTCAGCTAACACATCTATATCACTGTTCATCATCAAAGGAAGTCGGGGCAGGAACTCAAACAGGGCAGGAATCTGGAGGCAGGAGCTGATGCAGAGGCCATGGAGGGGCGCTGCTTACTGGCTCGCTTCCCCTGGATTGCTCAGCCTGCTTTCTTATAGAACCCAGGACCACTCGTCCAGGGATGGCACCACCCACCATGGGCTGGGCCCTCTCCCATCAATCACTAATTAAGAAAATGCTCTCCAGCTGGATCTTATAGAGTTATTTTCTCAATTAAGATTCCCTCCTTTCAGATGACTATAGCTTGTGTCACAGTGATATAAGACCAGCCAGCATAGTGTCCTTCTTCTGTCCATGCTGCATGGTTTAGAGAAAGCATCCCCATGAAGAAGTGAAGAGACTCTTCAATTTTGGTGATGATGGGGATATATGTACCCACCCTCCTTTTCTACTAAGTCCCTACAACTCTGAATTGTCAGGCTGACCGAGGATATTGCAGTCAGTGTAGTATTCTGAATCCAGTCTGTATTGTGCATCGCAATGGCCGAGTCCTACATTAGGGAACTCAAAGGAATTCAGCACAGTTCCTAATCCCACGGAGCTTGGGGCTGGTCGTCACAGTGATGGTGCACAGAACTCACCATGTGGGATACAGTTCTAAGCACTCTGCTGCCCTCCTTCAGCAGCCACGGAGCATCAGTACCAGAAACCTTCATCAGACCCCAAGATCCAAGGATGCTCAAGTGCCTGAGATCATACTTAACACAGAATCGGCTCACATTGTCTCATATGCTTTAAACATCGCTAAATTCACCATAATATCAAATATAATGTAAATGCTAGGTACTTAGTTGCTCTTCTGTATCGTGTAAGGAAAAACAACATGATATGAAGGTTTGTACATGCTCAGTACTGATGCAAATTTTTCTCATCTCAATCCAGAGTTGGTTGAGTGTGCGGATATGGACCCACAGATAGGGAGGGCCTTGTGTACATTGATATCTCACAAAAATCTGAGGGGTAGATACTGACGTGAGGAAAGTGGAGCAGAACAGATGTTCAGTAACTTTATTATGTGTCCACATCGAGAAAAGATCAGAGTGTGGCTATGAACCTGGGAAGTGATTTCAGATGCTGTATTCTCGTCCTCAGTAGGTAACTCAGAACACAGGCTTGAAAGAGGAGAGAGAAACAATGTGCAGCAGTGTGCTCTCCACTGTGTAGTTCTGGGAGACACAGACGGTGCTAAATCTCCCCCCACCCTCAGGACAGCAGAGCAATGGGGATGAGCTCCGAGTGTCAGGGCAGTCTTGAACCTGCGCTCTCATACTTCCTGAAGCCACCCACCCAGACTCCTGGTGTGTTGTTGGTTGTTTTTACTTTTTGGCCCTTTGCTCTTTTGGGGGGCCCACCACCCAGCTCCCAAATAACCATACACGGAGTCTTATTCTTACTTATAAATGACTGGCCTTTGCTTGGCTTATTTCTAGCCAGCTTCACTTAAATTATCCCATCTACCTTTTGCCTCTGGGCTTTTACCTTTCTCTATTTCTGTATATCTTTTCTTTCCTTCTTATTCTGTGGGTGGTTGGGTGGCTGGGTGGCTGGGTGGCTGGCTCCTTCTTTTCTCCTTGACCTTTTCCTTCCAGATTTCTCCTTCTATTTATTTCTCTCTGCCTGCCAGCCTCACCTATCCTTTCTGCTGCCTCACTGTTGATTGTTCAGCTCTTCATTAGACCATCAGGTGTTTTAGACAGGCACAGTAACACAGCTTCACAGAGTTAAACAAATGCAACATTAAAGAATGCAACACATCTTTGCATCATTGAACAAATGTTCCACAGCATAAACAAATATAACACTTCTTAAAATAATATTCTACAACACAGGTGGATGCAGGCATAGATTCCAGGTGTGGCTCAGGGTAGACCCCTACAGGAACCCAGTGTAGACCCCTCAAAGAATCCAGTGCAGACTGCAGCAGGACCCCAGCATAGACCCCTGAAGGACCTCAGTGGAGAACCCCAGCATAGACCCTTGGAGGAACCCAGTGTAGACCCCAGTAGAACTCAACATAGACCTCCCTGAGAAATGTAGCTTAGTCCCCTAGAGAAACCCAGCATAGACTTCTGGAGGAACCTAGTGTAGCCCGCTGATGGAGCCTGGCATAGGCCTCTAAACCTAGTAGAGATCGATAGAGGAGCTTAGTGTAGACCCTTGGAGGAGCTTAGTGTAGGCCTCTAGTGGACCCAGCATAGACTCCAGGAGGAATATAATGTAGACCCCTGATAGAGCTCAGCATAGGTCTCTAACTGAGCCTAGTCTAGACCCCTAGAAAATCCTAGTGTAGACCCCTGGAAAATCCTAGTGTAGACCCCATTGGTGGAGCCCAGTGTAGACCCCTGGAAGAGACAAACATATAACCCTGGAGGAAACTGCTGTTGAACCCTGGGATAGCCCAGTGTAGAACTGTGGAGGAACACAACATAGACCCTTGGAACAGCCCAAGGTTAAGTCTCTAGAGCAGTGGTTCTTAACTTTCCTAAGGCAGCGACCCTTTGATACAGTTCCTCATGTTGTGGTGACCCCAAACCATAAAATTATTATTATTATTATTACTATTATTATTATTATGTCTTTTGAGATAGGGCTTCTTTATGTAGCCCAGGCTGTCGTAGAACTAGCGCTGAAGCCCAGGCTGGCCTCAAACTCACAGAGATCCACCTGCTTCTGCATCCTGTGTGTTGGGATTAAAGGCGTGCGCCACTATCACCTGGATCATAAAACTGTTTTCGTTGCTACTTCAGAACTGCATTTTGCTACTGTTATGAATCATAATGTAAATATCTGTGTTTTCGGGTGGTTTTAGGACACCCCCCCAAGGGGTCTCGACCCACAGGTGGAGAGCAACTGCTCTAGAGGAACCCAGCATAGGCTCCAGTGGAGCTCAGTGTTGACCCCCTGAGGAATCCAGCTTAGTTCCTGGAGAAATCCCGCATAAACCCCTGGTCCAGGCCAGTGTAGACACCCGGAGACCTCTGTGGAGCCCAGTGAATTTCTGGTGGTGCATAGACCTTGCTCAAAGGAATGATTCCAAAATGTTTGTGGATCTTACAGGTGAAGAGCACTGAATACAGGATTTCACTCTCCATCCCTTTCACAGATATGGACCCCAGATCTAAATAGCCTGTCCCCATCTCTGGCAGGAACTTGAGGTAAAACTCTCAAGAATCAGGGCTGCTGTACAGGACTACATAAGGAGCAGGGCATGGAGCCCACTTTCACACACTAAGTGTGGAGGGCACTCTCCCACGAAGAGCCTCTCCAGGCCTATTGCCTCAGGGGAGGAAACAGAAGAGGTTCCTCCAGAGACTCCAATCTACCCAGGTGGAAAAAGCCAAGAAATTTAACAGCCTCAGATCAACCCAGGCAGAGCCCCTGCCATGCTCCCACATGTGGCAGTGGGCTCACAGGCTCCAGGGAACCCCTTATTCCTCCTGCCTTAGCTGTGAACAGTAGCCAAGCACCTCCAGGAATCGGAATAAGCATTTTGGAGACTCTGTGGGGAGGGGTCTTCCCACCTCTCCTCTGGTCAAACAACTCTCAGCAGTACCTTCAGAGAAACTATTACATCACTAAAGACGAGGTCGCTCTAGGAGAGGACACCACAGCACAGCTGGAGCAAACCCCAAACACCTTAGATTGTCATCACAGGAGGGAAAAGCCTGGTAGAAGGGTGAGGGGATGAAGTTGAAGAAATCCTCCCAGAAATAAACCAAAGAGGTAAAGAGCTAGAAGGAGGAGGGGGAGGAGGAGGGTGGAGGAGGACGGAGGTGGAGAGGAGGAGGGACAGGGAGGAGGAGGACCAATTTAAGAGCTCAAATATTTGGAGGCTTTTGACTTTTAGGAGGAAATCAGAAAATGAGAGAGAAGAAATCATCAATGATATAATTAAAGAACAATTTTCTGGCCCTGAAGGACATGAATTTCCAGGTTGAAGGGACCCATCAGTTGTCTACTAGAGTAGATAGAAATATCTATGTCCAACCAATGTATGATGTGCAGGATGGAATTCTTGGATAGAAGCAAATTCAGGAGTTGAGATAAAATGGCTCATGGTGAGAATAGAGAGCAAGGCTTTTCAAAAGCGACAGTGGTGCCAGATACAGTAAATACTTCCAAAGTTCTGAAGAATGACTTCAAGATAAGACACCACTTCAGGAGTACCGCTCACCACGGTATTGAAGAACTCTTGCTTGGTGTTATGGCAGACTGTGTGTATGTGTGTCAAGTCAGTACTTGCTGGAAGAGGGAGAGGCTGGAAGAGAGAGCTGGAGCTGGAGCTGGAGCTGGAGCTGGAGTTCCTGGCGGTTGTGAGCTGCTTGACGTGGGTGCTGGGAACTGAATTCAGGTCTTCTGCAAGAACAGGTCACACTCTTTACAACTGTTTATCTCTCTGTCCTTCAGGGCAAGAGAATTGCTCTTTAATTATATCATTGATGGTTTCTTCTCTTTCCTTTTCTGATTTCCTCCTGAAAGCCCAAGTCTTCAAATGTTTGAGCTCTTAAATTGGTCCTCCTCCTCCTCCCCTCCCCCTTTCTGCTAGCTCTTTACCGCTTTGGTTTATTTCTGGGAGGATTTCTTCAACTTCATCCCCTCACCCTTCTACCAGGCTTTTCCCTCCTGTGATGATAATCTAAGGTGTTTGGGGTTTGCTCCAGCTGTGCTGTGGTGTCCTCTCTTAGAGCAACCTCGTCTTGTTTTAGTGATGTAGTAGTTTCTCTGAAGGTACTGCTGAGAGTTGTTTGACCAGAGGAGAGGTGGGAAGAGTGTGAACTGTTGTGAAGTTCACACTTCACACTGTTTATCTCGGCCCCCTGGTGGTACCCGTGGGGCAGCCACTAGAAGGTGTGCTTAAGATGAAGGCGTGAACCACACAGGAGCGGACCCTGGGGAGGAAGAGCAGGAAAGCAAACAGGATTGGGCCAGAGAAACTCTCGGGCCACTGGTTCAGGGGTCTCCAGGGTGGCAGCCGGTCAGCCTACCAGGCCAGGAGGGTCCAGAGGCCACGTCTTTGAGACAATTGTTTTGGACTGAATGTTAATTTCCTCCCAATATTCATTCACACGCTGAATTGCTAAACACCAATGTATTTCTACATTTAATGATCAAGACAGTAGAAAAGCCAACCAAAAAGTTTAGAAGAGGCATTCCTATCTCCAAGATGCCGTTGATAATAGTAAGAAAAAGGAGAGGTGTGGGGAGCTGGATCCCTGCAGTGTTGCTGATAGAACTGTAAAATGTTATAGTCACTGTGGGAAACACATTGATGTTTCCTCAAAAAGGTACACAGAATTAGCACATGATCCAGCAGCTCTGCTCCTAGTCATGGACCCCAAAGAACCGGAAGCAGGGGCCCCAACAGACTGGTCACATGTCCCTAGCTGTGCTGTAGCAGTGGCCAAAGTGAGGCAGCCCGAGTGTCTACCTGGTTTCCCTTCTGTTGCTGTGATAAAAACCCGAGACAGGAAACAATTAGGGTTTATTTCAGCTCACAGTTCCAGGCTCCAGTCCATCATTGCTGGGAAGTCACGGCAACAGCTTGGAGCAGCTGGTCACATCTGCAGTTAAGGGCAGAGAGAAATGGACGCATGGTGCTTACCACTCAGCACACGCGCTCTACTCCACACTTGAACCTGGATCCCAAGCCAGGGAAGAGCGCTACCCACAGGGCGCTGGTTCTTCCCACAACAATGAACACAGGCAGAGCAGTCCCCCACAGACATGCCCAGTCTGAGCTAGACAGCCACTCACTGAAACCCTCTTCCCGGGTGATTTGGATTGTGCACGTTGACCATTAAAACTAACCATCACCAATGGATACAGCAACTGTGATATAGCCATAAAATTGAATAATGAACCATAAGAAGGGTAAGGTTCTGTTGCATGTTACAACATGATGAGTCCTGAAAACATGTTTAAGTGAAATAGGCCTGACACCAAAGAAAAAGCACTGTAGGGTTCCACTCACGAAATAAGTAGGGTAGAGACAAGGCGGAGGGATGGCGGCTGGGAGATGGGGTGCGGGGGCTGCCGTTTAGAGGGTAGGAAGCCTCTGCTTACAGAGGTGAAAGTTTTGCAAACAGATCATGGGCCTAGCCTGGCTACGCAAGGCTATGAATTGAGCACTTAAAATGGTTAAAATGGTGAATTTTACGATATATTGTCTATATCTCACAAGATACGTATCCCAATAAAATAAGAAACCACTCTGTTTTAAGTCTAAAAGGTTTACTTTGTCACGATAAAAATGTTAAGTGGAAATAAAAGTGAATAAGGAGAACCTGGAGGAGTGGGTGTGGGGTGACAGATAAGGATGGTCAAGATGCTGGGAGGTCTGGGTGGAGGAGGAGGGCCTGGGGAGCAGACACCCCGGCACAAGGCTGTGAGCGTGGAGTGAGTGAACCCTGGAAGGTGCTGGAAAAACGACAGGAGAGTCTAGGTCAGAAAGCTGTGGCTGCCACAGACGGAGTCTGTGGGCAGCAGACAAAACTGAGGCTGTGGTCCAGAAGAGAGCCTCTCAAAGGGCGGGCATCATCCCCGTCACCCTGAGGGCTGGTTCCCGCTCTCGCGCAGTTCCACCCGATAAGGCTCTTGCTGTCAGGACTTGGGGATGGTGGTGGGGGTTGGAGACAGGACAACAGGGTGGCAGCTGATACTGACCCATTTCTCTTCTCCTTAGACACCACCACCCGCCTGCTGCTGGGGGCCATTGCAGTCCTCCTCTTCGCCATCCTGGTGGTGATGAGCATCTTGGGTGAGTGTGCATGTCAGAGTGTGTCGGCAGCGTGGCTTCTGCACACCTGGTCCCAGCATGTCTAGCTAGGCAAATTCTTCCAAATATTAGAAATAGGGGGAAGACACACAGTAAGTTAGAAGTAAAGTGGTTGGTTGTTTCTAAAATTGTAGTCTAAAATACAATTCTACATGGACTGTGCGTGTCCCATTCACTGGTCATGTAGGAAGCAATGGTAGCAAGGAATTAGTTCATAAATGCCATGGGCATTCAGAACAATCTAGGCTAGGCAGGCAAAGCCTAATGGAGGTGATGATTTGGAGATACGAGACTTTAAATATCACATTCATTCAACAAACACTTGTTGAACTTGGCTACATGTAAGACCCTAGACTAAGTGCTGGTGTGGGGTGGAGTCTAGGAAGAGGGAGGGAGAAGGGGGCCGGAGGGAGAAGAGAGTGCTCCCTGCATTTATTGATTCTCCGTTGTTTTTAGCTCAAATTAACCCTTATGCCAAAGGGGCATCCTTTGGAGTGGAAAACTCTAGATGCTACACAGGCTTACAAACAAGGAGTGCTTCGTGCTAGTGAATGGGTTACAGAGGTAAAGCAGGGCAGACAACGCTCCCAACAGGGATATGAGTGCCCTGGGGAGACTTCTGGAAAAATGTCTTGGCCTCTGTGGAGTTTGTAGAAGTGATTGAAGTTTTTCTTCTCCTCCTCTTCTTCTTTTTGAGACAGGCTCTGATGTAGCCCAGGTTGGCCTTGAATTCCCTGTGTTGTTGAGGCTGGCCCTGAACTCCTGATCTGACTGCCTTCACCTCCCCAGTGCTGAGATTAAAGCTGTTCTGTGCCACATCAGGTCTGTCTGGTGTGTGCCAGCACCCCTGGCTTGTGGAATGCTGGGGACAAGACCCAGGGCCTTGTGCATGCTAAGCAGGCACCCTGTCAACTGAGCTGCCTCCCCACCCTCCTGTCCTCAGTCTTTCAGTATTTTATTTTTATGATTGTGTGTGTGTGTGTGTGTGTGTGTGTGTGTGTGTGTGCGCGCGCGCTCGCGTGTGCGCACACGCCTGTGTGCAGGCAGACATGGTGCTGGAAAAGGTGCTGAAAGTTTGACATCTTGATCTGCAGGCAACAGGAAGTGAACTGAGACACTGGGTGTAGCTTGAGCACTGGAGACCTCAAAGCCCACCCCCACAGTGACACACTTTCTTTAACAAGGCCACACCTACTCCAACAAAGCCACACCTCCTAATAGTGCCACTCCCTATGAGATTATGGGGGGCCAATTACTTCAAACCTCCACAGTCAGCTTTGGCTACATGAGACTGTGTCAAAATCCAAAACTAAAACTTACCTATAAAACTTCAAATGAGCCAAGCACTGTAACTCACGCTTTTAATCCCAGCACTCGGGAGGCAGAGGCAAGCAGATCTCTGTGAGTTTGAGGCCAGCCTGGTCTTACGTAGTGAGGTCCAGGCCAGCCAGGGCTACATAGTGAAACCAAACAGAACCTCAAAGGATCCCAAGAGAAGGAGAAACGTGTAGAACAAAGCCAGGCAAACTTCTGGTTTTGAATTGACATGTGTTCTGATCTCCAGGAGACTCAGAGTGTAAGTAAGCACATGGCAAAGAGGTCTTGGAGGGTTGATGGACATTCTGAACTGCTTTCCCAGAAAAGTGTGTGTGTGTGTGTGTGTGTGTGTGTGTGTGTGTGTGTGTGTGTGTGTGTGTGTCTGTGTCTGTGTGTCTGTGAGCTATGGAGGACCAAAGAGGGCATGGGATCCCCTGGAACTAGAGTTGTAGACAGTTGTGAGCTGCCATGTGGTTGCTGGGAATTGAACCCAGATTGTTTGGAAGAACAGCAAGTGCTGTTAACCTCTGGGCCATCTCTGCATCCCCCTCCACTTCAAAAAAGTACTCTTTATTAGTGGGGGGGTTGTGGGTGTAGCGGTCAGGGGACAACATGCAGGAGTTAGCTCCTAGCTTCTCACTGCCCACTGCGTGGGTCCCAGGGATGTAACTCACGTTGTCAGGCCTGGAGGCCAAGTGTCTTTCCTCTCGGAGCGAGCCATCTACCTGGCCCAGGACTCAAGTTTAAAAGGAATTTTCTAGAAGTTCAGTGGTAAGCAGGGTTGTGGAGCTAGCCAGTGAGGGAGAGCGTGGTTGTGAGGGTGGCACACTGTCCTGGTGGTCTGAGTTCCTAGGGTTAAGAGAGAGGTCTTTCCTTGGGTTTGTCCCTCTACTGTCCCCCACGGTAACACACTGGCCACCTTCCTCAGTGGCCCTCGTCCTGTCCATTTCATCTGGAACTCCTCCCTGAGGCACGGTGACGTCAGCAGGGCCGCTGAAGGGCACTGAAGTCCAGACAGAGGGAGGGAGCTGTGGGGAAAGGACTGGAACACAGTGTCACCAGGCATCCTGGGAACATGGCAGTGGCCAGGCACACCCCGAGACACTCAGCCCCTTCCCTCTCCCTGCAGCTTCCAAGGGCTGCATCAAGTGTGAGACGCCCTGCCCAGAGGGCTGGCTGCTCTACGGGCGCAAGTGCTACTACTTCTCTGAGGAGCCCAGAGACTGGAACACCGGGAGGCAATACTGCCATACCCACGAGGCGGCCCTGGCTGTGGTCCAAAGCCAGAAGGAACTGGTGAGAGCCTGGGTCAGAAGCGGGGGTGGGGGAGTGGGGGTGGGGGGTGGGACTCTAAGGGGAGATGCACACCCAAGTGGAATGACCCTCTGGGTGCCTGTGTCCGGTCACTCAGCCACTGTACAGCCATGGGGAGACAGGTGAATCCCCTGGGGTCTGACCACTTGAACCTCCAGCCTCCAGGCCACTTCCATCCAAGGCTGCTTGGCTGCGCTAAACTCAGTATTAGAAGGATGGATTAGAAGATGTGAACACACGTGGACAATGTAACAGACACTCTCATTTCCTCCCATCTAAATCAAGGCATTGCCTCTCCTCACACCTTGAGCTGTTTTGCTAATAGAAAGGTTAAAGAGACAGAACCCCTGATCTCTTGGTCATTTTGGACGTTGTGACCCAGCGCTGCACACTTCTAAACTAGGAGTCGGTCTCAAAACCAATTTTTGTTTGTCTGTGATGCACAGTATTTCTGTGCCACTTTCTGAGAAAGTCCCAGAAGTACAGGTAGGATAACCTACTGTGGTAAGATTTGGCCAGGCATCTAACCTATCCTGTGGGCCATCCCCAAACTCCCAGCTACTTAAATGAGGCCAGCTGGGGGGTGGGGCCATTTTCAGGCTGTCGGGGACATCTGTGGCAAGCTTGGGAAGCTGCTCCGGTCTTGCTCCAGCAGTGTGACTGCCCAGGGCTCTGTAATCATTGATCCACGCTCTCCCAGCAAAGTGACACACCATCTCAGTACCCACCACACCTCTCCAGAGCTGCATCTTCCAGGCCGAGCCCCGGCTTGGGCTGGGCAGCAGTCACAAAAGGGTCCTCCACGCCCTGGTTTCTCTCTTTCCGTTTGCAGGAATTTATGTTCAAGTTCACACGGAGGGAGCCCTGGATTGGCCTGCGCAGAGTTGGAGACGACTTCCACTGGGTCAACGGGGACCCCTTTGACCCAGACACGTGAGCTGAGACTCCATTTTCTAGGAGAGAGTTGAGCTTAGACTGGGAAGGTGTAAGCCCCAGGGGCAGCTCTTGGACAGATATGTGTGTGGTTTTGTGCTAGCTAGAGTTGATAGGTCTCTAGGGCAAGTGTTGGGGAGTGGGGGTCTGTGACAGGGTCCCTTTATGAAAGTGTCCTGATTTCCCTGTAAGTCCGGCCTGGTTTGGTAGCCCTGCCATACAGAGAGCTAGCTTCTCAGTGAAAGGTGCAGGTGACCTCTATCTATGACTACCCCATCTGTGCCCCTCCTGTTGGCCAGAACTTGGTCCCATGTCCACACCTGGTTGCAAGGGATGATGGGAGGTATGGCTTCTGTAGGTAGTGGGCCCCAAAGGCATCGTGGCAAAGGAAGACAGGAACTCTGAACACAGTTGCCCATGACATCACTGATCACCTTTTTCTGTGACAGCATCTTCTGGCACGGGTGCCCTGGGGGAGGTGTTGGGCACACAGTGCTGCTGTGTCTGTGTGGCCCACGTGATGGGACAGTGACCTCGGGCAACGGGGGTAGCAAATGCAGCTGTGGAGGTGGATTGTGGTGGCGGAGGTCTGTGTGGTGGCAGGGTAGGTTTAGGGACAGGCAGGTCACTTCAGCTGCTTGTCCAGACTCTACCTGTGGAGCCCTGTGCCCTAGGGTGCCGGGTCGGAAGGAGCATGGCTGCCAATCTGACGGAGATGGTAAGAGTGTCTCCAAGGCAGGAGCTGAAGTGAGGCGGGCAGCGGGGCTGGTGACGAGTGTGGCCCACCTGAGCCTAGTGCCAGCCAGCGGCCCTTCCCGTGTCTTTCTTTTCCCGAAAGACTCAGGGGCTCCGCCTCTTCCCTCGCCGCTCAGCCTCTTTCTCCCAGGCCAGACCACGGAAGAGCCTTTCTTTGCCTTTCTGGAAACTTCTTGCTGTTAGTGTCCCGGGGAGTTCCGGAGGCTAGGGTCTCTCCAGGGCTGACCCCTGGGCAAGGACCTTGCACGTGGGTCCCCACCCTTCCAGCTACCAGGGAACGAGCAGAGACCGGGTGAACAAGCATGGTTTTTACGGAATGCTCCCAGGGCTGTGCGTGGTTTGGGTGAATTCCAGGCCATGTGGCCCCATTCTTCCGTGTGACTACATTCCTGAGCTTTTACTGTGTGCTGTGAGGGAACCAAGAGGAGCAGGGCGCAGAACCTGGACCCTGTTCGGAAGCTGGCTGCCTTGGGGACTGGTGGGAACGGACAAGCCCCTCGAGGCTGTGATGAGAGGTGCCTCACGGTGCAGACAGGGTTCTGTGGGACGTATGGTGGGCAGAGGGTAGCTCTGAACTGGGCGCCTTGGAGCTGACCTTAGAAGGAGGTAGAATAAGGAAGGCAGGGAGCTTTGGTGGCGGGTGCGGGGACTGTTCCGGTGACTGGAGGATAGAACTGGGGACTAAGCCGGCAAGGTGCACCAGTATCTGTCTTGGGAGATACTCCAGCGAGGGCCAGAGGTGGGGACAGGACCTGTGGGACCACCTGCGACGGGCGGCATGCGAGCACCTGACCTTTCTGTTCCATCACAGATTCACCATCTCGGGTATGGGGGAGTGCGTCTTTGTGGAACCCACCAGGCTGGTGTCAACGGAGTGTCTGACGACCCGGCCCTGGGTGTGCAGCAAGATGGCCTACACGTGACGGGGCTCAGGCCGGAGGGGGCCCTCTGCCCAGGCCCGAGGGCAGTATCTCTTCTATCACTCGCTTCCAGCAGGAGCCGCCACCCTTTCTGAATGGGAGTAGTGGGGAGGGTGGCCTCTGTCACCATCCCCTCTCAGGCTCCAGAGCTCTGAGGCCCTGGTTCCTGGTCTCTCTTGTCCCCAGGCAGGTCCTGCGGCTTAGCAGTTATATCTCATGTGCTAAGTAAGTAGTGTAGACATCTTGCCCCCATACACACAAGCACACATGTGTACACACATGTACGCACACGTACACAACACAGTTGCAGGCTCTCTGTAACAGGTCACCCTTCCTTGGCTCTGCCTGGAAGCTTCCTTACTGCAGTCCTGGTGCTTCTGGGCAGAAGAGGGGCTGACACGGATTGTATGGCTTTTGGCTCAGCAGCCTGCCCTCCCAGTGGCTTCTCTCAGGTGGCTGGGGGAGGCAGGCAGGTACAGCTTCCTCTGCACCACGGAGAGAACAGCCCAGGGCTGGAGGCCCCTCTGTCTGTCCTCCCTGCCTTCCCGGGGTCCTCAGGCAGGGCCCCTGCTGTGCTGAGGTGCTGATGTATCGGTCACTAATGGAATAAAGACATGACTGCATCTCTGAGTCTGCTGCCATTTGTCCCGGGGCCATCGCTTGGGGAGGAGCAGAGGGGCAGTCTCTGGGGGCCACCATAAGGATGCAGGTGTCCCAGTGTGACACACAGCATTGTGTGGGGACCCAGCACGGAAAAAAAAGAATAACAAAACGGAACACCCTTCCCAGCTCAGGCTTCATTTCATGGTGGCAGCTGTTAGTCTTACCTGGGTGTACCCCCATTCTGGTACTTTCAGGACCATTTGACCCAATATGACAAATACTTATTCACACCTACTATGCTGGCTTGTTTCATGTCAACGTGACACAAGCTGGCATCATCTAAGAGGAGGGAACCTCAATTGAGGAAATGCCTCCATAAGATCAGGCTGTAGACAAGCCTGTAGGGAATTTTCTTAGTTAGTAAGTGATGGGGAAGGCCCAGCCCATGGTGGGTGGAGCCATCTCTGGGCTGGTGGTCATCCTGGGTTCTTTAAGAAAGCAGGCTGAGCAGGCCTTGGAGAGCAAGTCAGTAAATAGCACTCCTCCATGGCCTCTGCATCAGCTCCTGCCTCCAGGTTCCTGCCCTGTTTGAGTTCCTGTCCTGACTTCCTTCAGCGATGAACTGTGATGTGGATGTATAAGCCAAATAAACCCTTTCCTCCCCAAGTTGCTTTTGGTTCTGGTGTTTATCACAGCAATAGAAACTTTAACTAAAACAAACTGGAGACCTGACCATGTGTTTTGGGGAGGATTGTGGAAGGACTTTGGAACTTTGGGTTGGAAAAGTCATTAAGTGTTTAAAGCCTGGTGAGCTGTTCTGTGGGAGCTTGGAAGACAATGTTGGGGACAGTGCAGAGTATGAAGGCCTGACTTCTCCAGAGGGAAGTTGAGAGTCCCTTAAAGACTTTACCAGGGCTGTGTGCTATTTTGAGTTGAGAACCTGTGATTCTGGTCAGCTGCAGCTGAAGAATCAGCTGTGTTTATGATAACAGAACCAGTAAAAGTAAAATCTTTGCTCTACTGGGGCATTTGATGCGGGTTGGCTGGAGCTGAGAAATCAGCAATGATTAAGAAGAGACCAACATTACTGAGGGGAAATCTTCTGGGACCTGTTTCCTCAGGGTCAGCACACAGAAGGCGTGTTCCAGAGGGGCCAGGGTTGTATCTCAGGCTGGCAGCCCGGCTCAGCCACCTGTAGGAGTCTCCCAGGTGGTGCTGGTGTTGAAGGCATGAGGGGTCGTGGAGAGCAGCTGAGGCTTGGCGCTGTGAGAGACCAGGAGAGGCCGCTGGTGAAGGTGCAGCCTCGGGAGCAGTTGAAGGCCCAGGGCTGAAGGGGTCACACAGTTCAGGTTTGGCTCCATGAAGAGAGCCCAAGAAAGGTTATTGGTTAAATGGCCCCAACTGCAGCCGGAGATCCCAGGAATTTGGAGACTCCTCAGCAGCCGCTGTGGAGTGGAGACACAGTGTGTGCTGTGGCAAGCCCTTTGGAGCCCAGGAGCCCGTGAGTGGACCCCAGACATTGGGCACTGAGTTATTTACACTGTTGGAGTTTGTTTTGCTTTGTTCAGATTGTGACCTTATCCTGGTTATTTCCTCTTGGAATCCGAAAGTACTTACTTTTTATTTTCCTGGAGTCCACAGTTGAGAGTCTGAACTTTTAAAGAGATTTTGGAGTTTTACAGAGACTTTGGATTTTAAAAGAGACTAGATATTTTAGAGGCTGAACTTTTGTTTGTTTTTGTTTGTTTGTTTTTTTTTGGTTTTTCGAGACAGAGTTTCTCTGTGTAGCTTTGCGCCTTTCCTAGAACTCACTCTGTAAATCAGGTGGGCCTCGAACTCAGTGTGCCACCACTGCCAGCTAAGGCTGAATTTTTAAAGTGTCTGAATTTGTAAAGACTGTGGAACTTGTAAAGCTGTTTGATTTATATTGCAATATTTTTACTAATATGGCATCTTGGTGACAAATGAGAAAGGTGAGGTTCTGATTGAAAAGTGGTGTTTGTGTTTCAGGCGACAAGGGTCGGGTGTCCTGGCTGGTTCATGTCAACTTGACACAAGCTGGTGTCATCTAAGAGGAGGGAGCCTCAAAGGCCTCCTCGGCTGTAGGCACGTAAGCCTGTAGCACATTTTCTTAATTAGTGATTGATTGGGGGGGGCAGCCCATTGTGGGTGGTGCCATCCCTGGGCTGGTGTCCTGGGTTCTATAAGAAAGCTGACTGAGCAAGCCATGGGAACAAGTCAGTAAGCAGCACCCCCTCCATGGCCTCTGCATCGGCTCCTGCCTCCAGGTTCTGCCCTGTTTGAGTTCCTGTCCTAACTGTGATTCAGTGATGAACTGTGATGTGCAAGAGTAAGGAAAATAAACCCTCTCCAAGTTGCTTTTGGTCATGGTGTTTCATCACAGCCACAGAAACCCTAAGACACCTACCTACCAGTTGACAGACACCATGCTAGGTATGTGGGAATCTGTGTCCTTATGCCCCGGGGAATGTATAGGGAGAAGAGGAACTAGAAAGCACTAGAATGTTCTGGAACATTGTAGAAGAATGGTTTATTCTGGTTGGGGGAGGATGTCCATGTTGGGCTGGGTCTGAGCCTTGAGGGTCTTCTGCTCTTAGGCACCCAGGCTTGCCTGGTAAGGGACTGGAGGGGAGCTCCATGCAGCCTGCAGTGGGACCTGACCTGACTTCCTGCTGGTGTCTGCAACCAAGTGTGGAATGGACGGCCGCCTGGGAGCTGCTGAGTCTTGCATTTGAATCCTGGCCCATTTTGATTCAGAGGCAATACCTCAGAGGCAAAATATGGCCCACTCCTGGGGTCCTGTTCGCTCCTTTTGAGTGTACTTTTTGGACAAAACTACTCATTTCTGTTAACTTTTCTACGTGCTTTCTAGATATTCTTCAGGGGAAGTCAATGGGAGAGGGGGATGTAGGACAAAGTGGTTAGGGAATTCTGGGGGTGCCCCTCCACTTGTTAGTGTGGTAAAGGGCCACTGCCAGGCACCTAGTAGTGTCTTGCTCTAACCTGTGCTTGGCCATCAAAGTCTCTGGAAGGGCTGGAGGGTTCAGAGGGGAACCTTTCACCTCTTACTTACTAAATGCTCACCAGGCTGGAGAGATGGCTTAGTGGTTAAAACACTTATATTCTTGCGGAGGGGTCCCAGCATCTACACAGAGGCTCACAGCTGCCTGTAACAACTCTAAATTCCAGAGGATCTGTGGTGATCTGAATAGGAATGGCCCTCAGAGGCTCACAGATTTGAATGTTTGGTCATTAGGGAGTGGCACTACTTGGCAGGGATTAGGAAGTGTGGCCTGGTTGGCATGCTGAGTTCCCACCCTTTGGAGGCTCTCCCTGTTCTGTTGCTTGGCCATCTCGGAAGTGGTCAGTGTGTAGGCTGCCCAGCTCTAGCTGTCTTCTACTGGCCTAGGACCTGTCCGAGGGCCCTGGGAGCGGAAGCAAACAGCAGGAAGCATTCCTAAACTGTAGTGTCAGGGGGAGGTTTCTATGGCAACGTTGCTTCCTCAAATACTCAAATACTTTTGATCATCTGCACCCTATCACCGAGTCCTTCCCAGGTTTTCAGGGCTGCCTAATTTCTTTTTCTTCTTTATTGGCTCTGCCCATGTTTTTCTGTTAACCTATTGGTACAGTCTTCAAGGAACTGGAGATAATAGATATTTGGGTCGCCATTCTGCAGTCTTGACATTTGCTGAAGGCCCAGTTCATTTGTTGCTAAAACCGTCCCCTGCCCTTCTTCCTGTCTCCCTTTTGCACCCTCTCTCCAGGGTCTTACATAGCCCAGGCTGGCCTTGAACTCTTGGTGCTCCTGCCTCCGATTCCTGAGTGCTGGGTTGTGTGAGCCATGCCCACCTTCTTTTCTCCGTTGACCCTTTTTTCTTGTACAGTCTTTCACAGTTTGAATTTCATTTTCTTTTGCTTGTTTTCAAACAGAGGAGTGTCCCTTGCCCTCCTCTCAGGTCTCACTTGTAGACCAGGCTGGCCTTGTGCCCAGAGAGATTACCCACCTCTGCCTCCATAGTGCTGGGATTAAGGCGTTCAGCATCATGCCTGTCTGATTCCCGCTTCATTTTACCTCTTACAAAACCTTGCTGAGAAGAATAAATAAAAATTAAAAAACAGCAACAGCAACAAAAATAAAATAAAAAAACAGTAACTTTGCTGGGTGGTGGCAAATAAAATAAAAAGACAAAATAACTTTGCTGGGTGGTGGCGCACGCCTTTAATCCCAGCACTTGGGAGGCAGAGGCAGTCGATCTCTGTGAGTTCGAGGTCAGCCTGGTCTACAGAGTGAGTGCCAGGATAGCCAGGGCTACATGGAGAAACACTGTCTCAAAAAACCAAAAAGAAAAAAAAAGAAAAGAACAAAAGAACGAAAATGCATAAAACCCTGCGGCCAGGCGATGGCGCCAGCTCCCACGCTAACATTCTAGCTTTTCCTCTCACCCCGCCTGGAGCTGGGAAACCATTTGGCTTCAGTTTTCCAGGGTTCCTCTTGGTCCAGATTTTATTCAAGCCTCACCTGGACCACAATATTTTTAGCCCTGAAATCAATTTCTTTATTTTTCTCTTCACCTTCCAAGCCAGTGCCACACATTTCATATGTTTCAAAAACGTCATTACATTTTAGTGCATGTGTGCTGTGGGATGGTCTGTATGTCAAATGTGCTGCTGATTGGTCAATAAATAAATCACTGATTGGCCCGTGGCCAGGCAGGAAGTATAGGCGGGACAAGGAGGAGAATAAAGCTGGGAAGTGGAAGGCTGAGTCAGAGAGACACTGCCAGCTGCCATGATGAGAAACAACGTGTAAAGATGCCGGTAAGCCATGAGCCATGTGGCAAGGTATAGATTAATGGAAATGGATTAATTTAAGCTGTAAGAACAGTTAGCAAAAAGCCTGCCACGGCCATACAGTTTGTAACCAATATAAGTCTCTGTGTTTACTTGATCGGGTTTGAGCGGCTTGGGACTGGCGGGTGAGAGAGATTTGTCTTGA